ACTCTTGGAAGTCAAGCTTCCTCTGTGCAAGGTGCCGTGTGACCCGTCACACTTGATATCACCACAGGAGTAATAGGACGTGTAGTACAGATTACACTTTTAAAAAATGCTAAAAAACAATTTTGTACGATTCTGCGAAACACACATTACACTTTTGCAAAATAAAAAAATATTCGGAAGTATCAAAGTATTGGTACAAATGAAGATGATGTGACTTCGAAACAAAAAGGTTTTGTTTGATGTTAGCAATTCAAGAGAACAAGAACAATTCTACGATTGGGTGTAATATAGCAGATATAGCCAGTATCAGTTTAGAATGAAACTGTTTTTTAACATGTCAGTTTTGACAGAATGCATAAGTAACTCGTTATGAAAAAAACTCTTAGTTCCGTCGTTCGGTATAACGCACAAAGTCATTTTATGTGCTGTACGCGAGCTCTTTAAATCATAGCTTCCTTTGTGCATGGTACACGCCAACCTCGTTGCACTATATAAACCTTGTTATCATTCCATCAAAGGAGCCGTAATGGGCCATGATCCTCTGACGATAGAACACGAGTTGCTTAACTATCTATATCCGGAACAAATTAACATACTTGGTCAATTGACCTCTCGTTTTTATTCCAAAAGAATGTAGGAATCTGCGTCTTAAGGAACAAAAGAGGCCATCGCTCGACTCAAGGCATTTATCAGAGATGAGCAGGATCTCCGATCGTTAAAGGGACAAATCCACCAGTTAAAGCGAGCATAACTAAAATTACAGTAAAATCAATTGTGTAATGTCGTGCAGTAACGACATTACACAATTGATTTTTTCCCATATAAATTTTGATTACCTGGTTGTGCTAATTCCATTCTTACGATTGGGTCGGTGAGCGCACAGATGACACCAACCTGAATGCTGTTAACGTTTGGCGTTTGAATTTGTGAGGATAGGACGGCTAGAATCTTTTTGTGGGTAAGAGATGCTGATATGGTTATTGATTCGGCCTTACTCGAGACGGTGTAACTCCGCGTCTTTGTTGTGATTTCTAAAATGAAAACCGCACGCGAAAACGAACGCTACATCTGCGGAAGAGGACTTATAAAAAGAAAAAAAAAGTTGCGAGTTTCCTATTCAGACGTATCGGTTGCGTTTGAAGTTTTTTTTACCACTCGTCAAAGATGCTAGGAGCCATTGAACTTCGTTCAGTAGTTAGTTGCGAGCTCATGTCGCCGCAATGGCGTCGGACCCTCTCATAAAGGTGGTGACAGCTACCATCTCTATGAACGAGTTCCGGAAAGGTGGTTATGCAGCGAGATCTACTGCACTCTGTGAATGCGTTAACTGTCGCATAAAATCACGGACGCACCACGAGGACCTTTGGGATACCAAAGATGATTACTCAAGGAGCGCACCAGAAATGATAAGTCTCAGCCATGCTGACGAGCAGTTTTGTGGACTTGCAAAAGCTACAGCCGCGACGGTCTGGCTCCCACCCAGGGTCGTCCGGCATACACCTCGGGAAAACACGTCGAGCTCCAGTAGGTTCATACTCGAAAATTTCTGGACTCTCGCGGGACTGTCGAAAGCAGGAAATAGTATGCAAAGGCGCTAGAGGTTTCAAACGCGAACACATCTCTTGTGCGATGAGGATGCTAGCTATAGTTTAAAGGTCCTATCGGACCATAAGATGGGGACACCACGTCCACGATCATAACACTACTCCAATACTATTGTGAAAACTATCGCTGAAGGTACGATCGTATTCGACAACTGGTGAGCGACAGTATTGATCATATCGAGATCCTTAATGGCGAAGCATCTGTAGTCTAAACGTTAGGACTACTTGATAATTAAAGTAGAGCTGACTATCAAAAGTGAGTGTATGGAGCATTTACTTAAGCTTCGCTGCTTGCCTAAACTCTGACTTCAACCTCTCTCTCGCACAACTGCTTCTTACGTTACTGCGTATTACGATATTGGAAGTAATTAATTATGAGTATGATCCTTCGATCATGTTTTTAAGACCAACATCGAGCTACCCTCATTCACTAAATGAACTTCTTGCCATTTGCGCTAGCATTTGTACACACTGGCGATCGCCAAATATTTACTCGAGGCTGATATCACATTCATGGTGGACATGTGCTGAACAACTATGGCACACTGTAAAAGTTATTTTTCAAGGACTTATAACCAAAACATACATTGCTTATTTTTTCGGAAATCACGATAGTCACAAATCGAATGTGTTGGAGTGTGGTTTAATTAAGGAAAGGATACTTTCGGTCTGAAAACGAGCCAAATTTAGCGCCACTAGGATACCACCCATTTCATAGCTCAAGTCATCACGAGTGTACAAATACAACAAAACATTTTGGTCGGCAACCAGCGGCAACATCGGAGCAACGTTTTACAATCGTCGAGCGATGATGGCGCGAAGTACGTTCGCAAATCGAGTTCCTCAATGTTTGGAAGGAACATCGAAAGTCATGAAAATAGAGAGTGATTTAATTTTCTAGAATGTCATTTGTTACCAGGTTAGACACGCCAACCATTGGAATATTTAGGAATTGCAAATACTCTGTGCGATTAACTAATATATGCAGTTCACCAATCATGCAGTACAGTCAGATATTATTCAAAGTACGTCACGAAACTTGCATATAATTGTGGCTTTTACGTGGTGAAGCTAAACTGTATTCGAGTGTTCAAAGCAAGTCAATATGACGTTGACATTAGCTTTTGACGTAATACACAAAGTCAAATTTATATTCTCACTAGTAATATCGATTTTTTGGTGATCTAATGTTCCTGAAACCTCTAACGAATGATATAGACATGTATCATGCAGCACCAGAACTGTAATTTCTAAAAGAGCTCTTGATATTATTGCGTTCAAGTTCTTGCCGATTAGAACGATGTGACAATCTCTCCTAAATGGAATACACGTTACTTATCCATTGTGACGTCGAACAACCGAATATGTTGATGTCGCTGCGTTGTATAATCAATTGCGATTCACAAACCAATTAAGCATAATCCATGATGCCAACTTCAGTGCTGCAGGTATATTTCCTTACTTTATTAGGTGGAACGTCACTTGCTTTCGACTTGGGCGGTGAAAACGATGTTACGCAAATAACAGACACAATTGTGCCTAGTTTTGAGAAATTCGATGGACTTACCCAGTCAATAAATTCACCACCAGATTTGTCCGAGAATTTAAATGGTCCAGAACAGTTACCCGATGAACACACAGATAGTAGCAATCAAGTTTGGCCTCTGCATATTAGCTTGCAGGTAGGTTGGCCATCTATTTCTGGTGATCAAGGACAATTAAGTTGGTTATCTAATCTCAGAGGAAGTGAAGAACTTACTTCGTCAAGCAAAGACTATAGCGGCTCAGGTGGTGAGGGACCCAAAAATGAACAGGAATGGATACCACATATTAAGGAGCAGGAAGCTAAAACGCTGGAAGGCGATCATAGCGATTTAAATCCGAATTCATTGACGACTGATACAAACTTTCAATTTCCAGCGTCAAGTGCTCCAGAGAATTCCGTAGAAGTACCGGATAGCACCGAGATTAAATCCCAAATTGCACGAGATAATTCACGAAAGACTGATACTCTTTTGACTCCAACCATTCACAGAGAGCAGGATGTTTCACTGACGCCTAACATTGAGTCGTTGCCAACCAAGTCGATTGATGATACAAACGAGAAACCAAAGTCGAGCTTTTCGAAAACGGGTGCTTTTTCTGATAACGACGTGACGCAACAACAGTCGCTGCTGCAAAGTGAGACAACAGCTGGTGGCGACTTGATCGCAAGTATGTCTGTATGGGGGGCACCTGTGGTGGCATCGACAGGCACGAACCTTAGTAGCGTTGAGCCTCATCTTGGACGCATCACCTCCAAGTCTGGCAAGTGTGTTGTCGCAAAACCAACTGAATACATAAGTGATGAATATTTGGACTGGGTATGGCAACATCGTATTGGTCCGACAGCGCCGCTCAAGCCAAATGTTAACTGGAACGTTATGGATAATAGTAACCTTCTACTAGACAAATTTGTGCATAACGAAGGATCTATCAATTATTGCGTTCGATGGGAGAGCAATACCAATCTAGACAAGCAATCCGCATCTCAATTCCAAGGAGTTTTGGAACGTCACTACAACAAGTGGAATAAATGGTTAGAAGGCTACAATTGCTGGCCTTTCAAAAAGCTTAATGTTAACATCGTGGGTTGGGCTGCGCGGGACAAGTCGCAATTCAAATGGGCTGATACTACGCTTGGTCATATTTATGAAGGTATTGTCGACTCGAGTGGTGTACCTCAATGCCCGGACGAATGTTATCGTTTCTACGACAGTATAAGCAATCGCTGGTCGGATACAAGCACTTGTACAAATGAGCCGTTTGATGTCTCGTTATGGCTAAGCGAGAGTATTTCGAATGGATTTGGTTTTGATTGGGGTCAACAATTAAGTCTTAACAATACGATGGAACACCTTTATGATGAAAATATCATGTTTGTTGGCCATGAGATTGGTCATGGCTTTGGACTTCCGGATTTTTATGGCCCAGAAACTAAACCTTCCGACGACTTTCCAAATTCAATCATGATGGCGTATAGCTCTACTACAATCATGCCAAGCGATGGCTGGATGCTACGTCGTGTACTTGATCATGTCCGAAATCGATTTACATTTTAAGTTTAGTGTCAGTCTATCCAAGTAAGTAACAACCGTCTCATAAAATTAATGTAAGCCTTGTCTGTTATAAAAATGTAACGGTGTATTTGGTAAAAATATTATATTTCGTAATAGCTCAAAAAATTGATCCTATAGAATCTATGTCACTCTAAACAAACTAAGTATCTAGTTAGTGGAAAGGCTCTTTGATTAGCTCCTGGTGGTGTGTATAACCTAATGAGCTTATGTCTATCGCTGATTCTGACGGGTTCGGGAAACTAACGGTCAAATGGTCGAAAACTGTAATCGCTCGCCTGGAAGAGCTTAGCAGCTTTGAGAACATAACCAAGAGCGCTCCAACCAGATACCCACTAATGCTAGGCGAAAGAATCTTTTCTCCTCGCTAAATAAATTCGGCTATGCTTCAAAACGGAGCAACAGCGCGTCGCGATTGCGGATTCCGTGCTAGAAGGTAGTGCACGAGAACGGGCACTAACGTACAGTACATTTACATGAGATGTTTTGAAGCGAAAGATGACGCAAATGTTCACATCACCTAGCCAGACTGTTGAACAAATTAGGTAGCCCGATACGCTACCCCTGCGCAAAAGTGCTGCAAATGC